GCCTGTTCTTTGTGCTAATCCTGGGCATGTGTGAGATGTTCCTGGAGCCCACCACGTGGCTGCATGCTTTCCCTTTCCCAGAACCACTTAGTTTCTCCAAGAAAAGATAGACTCTAGGAAGTCCTGAGAAGGACATTTAACACTGTGGCAAGCACCTCCTACGGAGCCACACCTCCAGGTCCACAGCAATGATCTATGCCAATACAGGGTCCCGGGTGTGCATCCAGCATCTGGAGCATCACCATTCAATCCACTTCTAAGTGAATTTCCTTGCACAGAAATTGCAGAGCTTGGAACAAAGAGAAGGAAAAGCCAGTAAATGTACAGGGTGGTGGAGAGGATCTGGGGTAAACTGGCCATAGACAGATTCAGATGAGGAAAGTCCGAGTCAAGTGGGTCAAGGAGAGCAAAAGCATCTTATTCCTTTTGGACCAGACAGAGGTAAGTGTTCATATGTAATCATTGGTAGCAGAAAACAAGATGGCCCCTCTGTGAGTCCCACACTTCCCTGATACGAGTTAAGAGTGTTTTTTTCACAATCCCCTCAATAGTGTGCATCACTCAGAGGCTGCTGAAGATGACCAGTTTCTAACTGTGAGATGACACCTGGCTAATAACCAGCTGCCCCACAGGCTCCTTCTCCAGACTCAGGCGCTCACCGCCATTCTAATTGAATGGCACCTCTAGGAACTGTCAGAAGACTCCTAGCATGTTTGCCCAAATTCAAGAGCACTCCCTTGTTTCCAAATGCCTTCTCTCCTCTCTGTTTATAGATGACCTTCCTTCGTGGGTAAGGAAATGAAGGTCAGCAATGCCTCAAGTTATCTCTTTCTCTGTGGCTCAACATGTTTATTTTTGGCCCTCTTCTCTTTCAAAATTGAAGTGCTTCCAAATGTTCACAGGAGCTTTATTTTTAGTGATTCCCTTGAAAAAAGAAAAACAACCCAAAGTACCCATGTACAGGTAAACAGAAGAACAAACTGTGGCATGTCCATGCAGTGAAATAGTACTCAGCAAAGAAAAGGACTGAGCTACTGAGGCCTACCACAATACAGAGTGACTTAAAACTGACCATGCCGAGGAAGAGAAAAGAGACACCCAGTCCGATTTTATGGATACAAAATTCTAGAGACTGTAACCTAAGCTTAGTTGATCATTAGGGAACAAGGAGAGAATAACAAATAGGCAACAGAAAACTTGGGAGGTGATGGACAGACACTGCCATTTTCTTGAGAGCAGCACTAGTTCCACACACACCTACCTGTGTAAAGACTTACCAAACCGTACACTTCAAAAACACACAGTTCCTAGTACCTCAGGGATAGGTTACTAAGGCTGCAGAAATTGCTTGTTCTCTCCTGGACTATCAGCTCCATCTGAGTACCCTGGGTCCTATTCTTTCTGATTCTCTTGAAAACATTTTGTCACTTTGTCTCCTGCATCATTATTCCCTAGTTTCTGTTTCCTGTCCCCTTGAGCCCCCCCACAAGGATTTCCTCCTGAGCATGAATTAGTGAAGCTAAGGCGACTCTCCGACATACTGCTTTCTCTGATTCTTGGCTACCACCTTCTTTATTCCTCATCACTCCAAAGGCATGTGACAGACAGGACTCACCCACTCCAAGTCACTCCTCCACTCCTGGACCCCTGTGTCCTCCCCACTGCCCTAGCACAGCTGTGCTCTGTCCTCAGTGATGTTTGCATCTCCAGTTTCAATGACGTCCCCTCAGGTCACGCCCTCCAGGCTTCCGTGGCTCAACCCTCCCCTGGTTTAGCCCCCAATCTGAGCACCCGTTTATGTGTCCTTCAAACCCCATTGCCGATGAGTTCTCCAATATCGTGTCCTTGTCCTTGTTTTCATTCCTTACTCTTGACGAAACTAGCAATCAAAGCCCTTCCACACACATGACCCCCCCACCCACCCCTTTATGTCTGACCAGCCCCGTGCACTCAGAACCTCCCGGGAACTGTATTCTACAGGCACCTGCTCAGGGGCTCTGGTGCAAAGCCCCTTCTGCCATGCATCTGGTATGCAGCTTGGTGGCCCCAGAGCTGATACAGCCAATCTCAGCCTCCACCACTGGGCAAACACAACACTCCAGAAGGCAGTGAGTCCCAGGGGCTACGGGGGACAAAGCCAAGAGCCTCTCACTGTGCTGTTGAAGGTGACAGGAGCCTGACCTTGGAGCGGCAGAGCACAGGAAGGAAGGGAGCACAAGGAAGTAGAGCCAGACACGGTCCTGCTGAGACTGGACGGATGTTTGCCAAGAGCCAAGCTGAGTCCACAGTCAATGCTCCTCCCGGACCTTCTGCTCCATGAGCCAGTACATTTCCTGCCGAGTTTCCTGCTACCCGTGATGGGAAGACGAGGAGATGCTCCTCCAGCCAGGATTCAGAGGCAGATTCCTCAGAAGGAGCTTCTCCTACCACGATAATGCACCGACACCCTGGAAACAGACGCTCTAGGACCCAGCCCCTGGTGATGTCTAACCGAACACATCTCCCCAGTTCTCCAGTGGGAGAACTCCGCGTCTCAAGGGCAGGGGGCTTATCTGAGCTCTTGCTGCAGTGCCTGCGCCACTGAGCACCACCAGCATGGTTTTGAAATTCAATGGTGTTGAACGTAAAGTGCTCTTTGGGCGGGGAAAGGAAGGGTGGGCATCCCAACGTCCTGCTTGGATGAAGATTTCCATTAAGCTAGGATCCTTACTTCAGGTCACATTTTAGAACTCTCTGGTTTAAGCTCTTTCCATTGCTCCCATCATGGACTTCCAACTGCTATTGGCCCCTCGGCCTGGTGGATGCATAACCCCTGCCCACCATGCATCCCAGACCTTCCTGCCTCAGCCTGAACACACTGGCCTCATGGAGCTCTCTGAACCAAGCTCTTTGCAACTTCAGGACCTCTGCCTTGGTATTCTTTCTGCGTGGAGAGTTTCGTCTTCTTGTCATAAATACCATCTCCTTGAAGAAATGTTCCCACACTCCCCGAGGCAGGAAGTTCTGTCCTTTTCTACCTTCCCGCGGTACCCTCTTTTCTGTAAGCGTGTGCAGCGTGGTTTGTGGAGCTACAGCTACCAGGTTGTAGAGCTCTTTGGCATGCACTCACTCTCTGCCTCGGACTAAGTTATAGGAGGGAAGGGGCATGTCTAGGTGGTTCAACCATAGCACCTAATGTGAGGTCGTGGCCCTACTATGTGCTCAATCAATGTCCATGAATGAAAGAATGAATTAATGAATCAGTATTTCACAGTAATTCGATTAATAAATAATGTGTAATTGGACCTTCTTTTTATTCAAAAAACAACCTTCCCAGGCACCATTTATTATCACAAAATAACTATCACAATAAACAATGGCCCCATCACTCAGCTATCCACACAAGAAACACCTGCTAAACCAACAAACCCACTTAATGAACCCAACCCTCAGGTATAGCCACTAAACACAAAAGTATAACTGCCGTACAGTTCCCCAGAGCCCAAGGTGGAAACAACCCAAATGTCCACCAACAGATGGACATGTAACCAAAATGAGTCCTTCCACACCATGGAGTATCCACATAAATGAACGTTGGTGAAACTACGTTAAGTGGAAGAAGCCAGACAGAAAAGAGCAGACACTGTGGACTCCAACGTCTTTGAACTATTCAGAAAAGGCAAATATATACAGATAGGCAGCAGAGGTAGCTGTCATAGGCTGGGGGGGAGGGAAGACTGGGTGTGTCTACCTAATGGGTGTGAGGTTTCCTTTTGGGGAGATGAAAATGTTCTAGAACTAGATGGTGCTGATGGCCATGCTCTACTGTGAATGTACTAAATGCCACTGAACTGTGTACATTAAAATGGTAAATTGTATATTACATGTATTTTATTACAACCAAGAAAGGGGAGCAGGTGACAGCAAGTTGCAGAGCATACACTATTTTGAGTATCTCTAAAAGTAGCCCCAATGAACAAAATGCTCAGCACCAAAGTTCAGCCTAGGTGTCTTCTACTCCAAGAAACCTAAGAGTGCTCCCAGCCCACAAACTTCTTCCCATGGGCTGGTTTTCCAGAGGCAGAGGGGTTGGGGAGAAGGGCCTTGTGCTGCCAGTGCCCTGGACTGGATGCGTGGTGCATCAGCTTCTAGGGGAGCCTGCAGGGCGAGGCTTCCTCCCCAGGTGTGGAGGAATGCATGGTTCTTGCAGGTGGTACAGGAACAAACACACACTGATTCTGATATGAAAAAGCCTATTGAGAGCTGTGTTGGAAGGCTGGCCTGTTAACACTGGTTTTCCTTTAGGGTGGTCATAAAGGGTGTTGTTTCTTTGTTTGCTTCCATGTTTGTGACCCATTTCATCCTTCTATGGACCATAATTGGGAAATCAATCATGCAACCACCAACATTAAAATACCACACTTCTCGGGAGCCAAGACCCTCTGGCCCTGCCCTGGTAGAGTCCCCACCTCTGCCTTTCCTGTGTCCCAGCTACAGGAGTCCTGAAGCCAAAACGTGGGCCACGCTCTGGTGCATTCCGCTAAGTCTCAGAAGGCTGTGGTGGGAACGGGCACCAGATTTGTTTCCAGAGTGATGGAAACATTCCAAAAGCAGATTTTGGAGAAGGGTGGGCAACTCCGTAAATACACTAAAAATCACTGCAGGGCACACCGTTTTAAAATCCGGGAAATGTATGGTGGATAGATCATCTCTCTGTCGAACCATTTCCAGTCTATTCCACGGGGATGATAGTTTGGAAAAGGCAAAAGTGTAGAACAAAAGAGATGGATGTTTCTTTTACAAACCAATGTGCGTAATGAAAAATGTGTCGATTTAAACAAATAATAAGAAAGGAGGCGCGCGGCCCAGGCAAACTTCAGGGCGTTGGTACAGCAAGAAACCACTCGGCGCCACTTGGCTGGCCTGCGTCCCTGGCTGGCCGGGTGCACCTGGGCTGTGGCTGGCACCCCCTGGCACGCGCCGGGTGCAGCGCCCCCCGCCCCAGCGTGGAGCCCACTTACTGTGGCGGTGCCGGACACGGTCTGCGCACTGGTGTCCGCGGCGCTCTGCTCCGAGTGCGACTGGGCGGGAGGGTACAGGTTTAACGTGTGCTCGGGGACGGTGGTCTGGCCCGTGTACTCTGGCGCGGGGTGGGGGTGGGGGGCCGTGTATTCCGCGGGGATGCCGTTCTGCGGTGGAGCAAACTGGGCCGAAGCGTAAGGCTGGGCCATCGTGTCAGGGGCAGCTGCTGCTTCCTGATTACCCTGCAAAATCAAAAAGGTGGAGAGAGGGAGAGAGAGCATGAGTGGGCTCCACAGAGGACCTTGACCCTCCGCCCCAGGCCTCCTGCTCCCTGCAGCCCGAGCGCCCCCACCGCAGGCACCGCTGCTCGTGCGCGTCCCGAGACTGCCACCCCCAGAATCCCCATTTCACAGATGCAGAAATAGAGGCGCAGACCCTCAAGCACCCTTTTCCCCATCATCCAGCCTGAGATTGCAGACTGCGCAGGTCTGTGTCCTACTGGATTGGGGCTTTTTTTTTTCTGTGCAGATCCTCGTTTTGGAAGTCGTGAGCATGTAGTTGTCTACAGTGACAGTGCAGCCTTGATTTGATACTTAAAGTGCCAAGAGAGATTAAATTGAACGAGTGTGTTCTTGAGAGGAGAGACAATTCATCTAAGCATTTGAATTTAATCAAAGTTTTATGTGACTTGGCTCACATCATGGGGTGGGGGAGGGTCCTCTTAATGGTCCCAGTGTGTGCCTGGTGTGTGTGTATGTGAGATGTTCCCAGCCCCCATGTGAAAGAGCCAAGGAGAATTCAGGTCCTAATTTAGACAAAGATGTCCCCTGTGATATCCCCACTCAAAGCTTTTCTGCAAAATGTTGGACTTAACTCTCCTTAGCCCCATTAGTCAATCAATGCCTTTCCCCCAACCCTGGTCTTATTTTTTATAACCACAGAATATTATATAACAATTTGCCCTTCAGTTATAGCCTAAACATGCAGTATGATAATTACAGTCAAGTCAAAAGAATTAAAAAAAAAAGCCTGAATTCAAATGTTTCCATTTCAGGAAACATCTTTCTCCCTCCGCCTCCACCCCTAACTCTACCACCCTTCACACACACACACTCACACTGAAGACATAAGAAATCATAACCTAGAGGTCCAAATTTTCCATGGTCTCAAGAGATGTGATTGCACAGTCAGAAAGAAAGAAAAAATATAAAAAGCTTAGCAATTAAGCACACCGAATAGCGGCCTCTCCTATTGTCTGTGGTCAATTAGCTGTGACTTTCACCCTCTCGCCTCCCGTAATGATAGGAGGGCACATGGCTTCAGTACCCTCCAGGAACATTCTAGAGCACATTCCACTGAAGTAGCTCGAGCACAGCAGATATGTGGTGCTGGGGGAGGGTGCTCCCAGAAGAACACATGGATTTGTTGAGAGAGGACCCTTAATTAGAATGTTAAAGCTGACACTTGGAAGAGAACGGAGCTTGGGAGAAGTTTAAAACCTTTTATAAGTGAGAACATTCCCGCCAGGCTCCTTCCTCCTCGAGACTCGTTTTCCCAAATGTCTGTGCCACTGGAAGTGCAAGCGTGCATGTGTCTCATCCAACACTTTCTGTGGCATCTGTGGCAGTAGAGGGTCTGCCTGGGCTGAGGCTGGGCTGCTGGGTGCCCACAGGACCCCGTCTCTCCTTGGAAAACTCGGAGCACGCATATTGTCCTTGTCATGGGGTTCTTTAGAAACAGCCCAGTTTCAGTTTGGGGAACATTCCCACTCAGGCCTCCTGGTGCCAGCCCTGTTGCCAGGTAGGCACAGCCATGTGACAGCAGGCTGGCCAAATCAGAAGGTTATGTAGCCACAGGCATGGGGATTTCAGTTCACACCCATCTATTTAGGGACCTCACTACTGAGGTAAGCCCAGTTCACTCTGCATTCTGCTGCAGACTCTGGAAAGAAGTTTTATTGTCACTGTGATTGGCGGCTGTAAACATACCCAAGTCTGCAGCTGCCAAGAACTGACACTTGAAAAGGACCTGCATACAGATGTGGCCACACACAGGCAGGTGGGAACAAGAGGGATCAACACACAGGCAGGTGGGAACAAGAGGGATCAACGGAGTTCTTGAAACATCATTTGAAGTCTAGCATCTAGCCATACCTGCATTAGTAACACCCTTGTTTATTTTATTTACATGAGTAAATGTACTATTTTCCAACAGCTTTATTGAGATATCATTAACATAAAAATTGTACATATTTAAGATATATAACTTGTTGTTTTGAGATACATATAATATATATTTATACACATATATACATATGCTGTGAAAAGATCACCACGTTCCAGTCAGTTAACTTAGCTATCACCTCCACACGGTTACCATTTGCCTGTGTGTGTGTGCGTGGTGAGAAGATTTAATTTAAGTTGTACCCTCTTAGCACATTTCAAGTATAAAAAACACAGCACTTCTAACGCTCATCCCCACGCTGTGTATCAGCGCTGCAGAACCTAGGCATCTTGCATAACTGAAATGTTGTACCCTTTGCCTTATTGTCTCTAAGCCAGTTTTTCTGTTACAACTCAAAGGGTCTTGACTCAAAAAGAGAGAAAAAAAATAAATCCTTGGTATTTCATAACTAGAGTCTTCTTTCCCTGGGCTAGTCAAGGAAAGTGTTCCTGTATATGGAACTCTCATGACAACATCACTTCTCCACGCCTGACTGAAAGCCCCCCAAATGTCTGCATCTTGGGAAGCTTCCAGAGGGAATTCACCATGTTAGAGTCAGCTTCCATCCAGGTGTGTCTCAACTTCTGCCATCTTCCACCTGCTCCATCTCTGAATGGAAAGGCAGACTTGGGGAAACTCCAGGTGTGACCACCTAGCAGAGCACAAATGATACCTAAGCCAGGACACAGGCTGCAGTCTCACAGAGGCCCAGGGGCTCCCTGCTTCTCCAGAGAAAAGACCTCCACTAGGAACACAACCCTGCAGAGAAGCCTCAGGACGTTGGGACTGTCCCTTAGCACCTGCAGAGCAAAAGTTCTTCTGGGATCTGAGGCTTCTCTGCAGTGGAAAGGGAGGACCACCTTCTCTCCCATCTGCTGTGGGAGAGAAGGTGGTCCACTCTGCCCACACCATCAGGGCTCTCCACTCACAGCCCCTCTGCATGGGAAGCCCCCACGCCTGGCCTGGCCAATCCTATCTTCTTGTTCAGGTCCCACGTCAGGAGCTCCCTCCTCCAGCAAGCCTTCCTTGACACCGAGCCCAGCTCCACGCTCCACCACAGCATGTGGCCACATCTCACATGACCCCCATAACCACTGCTGCCTCTTCAGGTGCCTGTGAGCTCCCCGAGGACAGGTGGCTGGGCCATGTCCACCGAGCTGTCTCCAAGCTCCATCAGCATAGCAGAGCTGTGGTCCCATTTCCCAGGGTCTGCTCAGTGAATGTGTGCTTGAAGAAAGGAAGTCTGGCTCGGAAGCCTCATGCACAGCAGGAGGTAGGGTGGGAGGAGCAGAGAGGACTCAGCAAAGGACCCAGGGGCCCAATCTAGTCCACCTCGTGGTTTTGCAAATGAAGTTTTGTCAGGACACAGCCCTGCTCATCTCTTTCCATACTGTCTCTGGCCACTTTTGTATTACAATGGCAGTGTTTAATAATTGTGACGGAAAACACACATCCCCCAAAGACTGCATCTGGGCCTATGCATAAACAGCTTCTAATGGCCTTGTCAGAATGCCATTAGACATGGGGCACTGCTAGGAGCCCATCATTGCAAAAACAGTAGAGAGTAAAAAGCTGGCCCACAGGAGGAAGAGGCAGGAGGGGGTACTTGTACTCTACCTGAACCAAGGGCAGGTGATGTCAGCTGGCCTTGGAGAAGGGTGGTGTTGAGGAGGGAACAAAAGGAGGGGTCAGAATCTTTTCTGAAATTTGCTTTCCATCACCAGATGTCACCATCACCTTCCTGTAACCACACATGCATGTGTGCACACATACACACATGCACGCGCGAGGTCTCTCTCTCTCTCTCACACACACAGAGGCTGCAAACACAGCACAAGTGGGCTCATAAGGAGAAGGTCCATCCTGGCCTCAGGCTTCTATGCTCCATCTGAAAGGCAGCCCCACCTCCTGTCTGGAGCTCACCAGACAAGCTGGATGACAGTGTCCTTTACCTCAGGCCTGGTGCATGACAGACACCCTGCCAGTTACTTTATATCAGTAGCTCTTGAACCAGCTTACCAGGGGACAGGAGGCAGTGACTAGAGGCATTCTTTGTTGTCACCACTGGAGGAGGAAGTGCTCTGGGTATGTAGTGAGTGAGATCAAGGATGGTGCTGGACACCCTGCAGTAGTACACAGGACTGCCTCTGCCTCAAAGACATCTGTGGACCCCCTAGTTTACTAGTGCCTAGGTCTGCACCTCTAATTCCACTTCACTTTACAGTTAAAGACGCTCTAGCACAGTCTTGGGAAATAACTATGCAAAGTCATAGCCACAGGTCCTTCCTAGGAAAACCAGAAGTTGAACCATGCCCATCTTCATCCAGTGCCCAGGGATCTCTCATTGGGCAAGGGAATCACCTAGCAGGGAGGTTGGTCGTTCTCTTAAATATGCAACCCCCTCCCTCTCACATACATCATGGGCCCAAGATCTGTCTTCCACACCCTGTTGTGGGGATGCCAGGCACTGGGGTATTTGATGCTAACATGCCAGCAAATCTCTCTGCCAGGTAAGGAAGGTGATCCTTGGCTAGTGTGGGGCAGCAACTTGGGAAACCTCAGCAACCATGTCTCCAACCTGAGGCCTGGCTTCAGAATTCTCTGAACCTGTCCCAGGATGAGTTAGGGCCAACAGAGGCCAGCAGGAGAAGGTCCATCCTGGCCTCAGGCTTCTGTGCTCCAGAGTAAACCACGCCCTTCTGGCCAACCCAGGAGACAAGCTCTTAGGACCACATCCACGGCAGCGAAGGGGCCTACAGTTAGCATCCAGGTACATGAGGCTCTAGGTTCATCCTGTACCTGGAGTTCCCAAGCAGATGTTGGGGGGACCCCCTGCAGTTACTTATTAACACCGACAGCCGTTCCAGAGAGACCCTAATTAATATTCCCAACATTTGCACTTTAGGCTAATTACAGCTAATATTTAATTAAGATCATTGTACTTCCTGTGGAATTACTTTCCACCTTCAAATGACTTCAGAGATGTCTTTGTTCCCTCCCAAGTGATGTTCCTAGATTC